CATCCAAAGCTCTGTGGAGTGGCACGTGGGGCCCTGCCAGGTGAGCTTCTACCTGCAGCAGCTCACCTGTGCTGGGCCACAAACCAGACCAAAGCCCTCACTGCCACAGCACAAGGTCCTCGCGGGGCTGCGGGACCAGTGCCACCCAGTCTCCAGTTTCACCGGCAGGTTGAGGAACAAACTCAAACCCACTCCCCCCTCATCTGTGCACCCTCAGCTCAGCCCCCACCCTTGGGTCCTGGCTCCCTACATGCACGTCTTCCCCAGCACCTTCCAGGTTGTCATGATACACACAAATCACATTTTTCTCTTTCACAAACATAAAGGCGAGAGTGCCCCTCAAATAGATGCACCAGGGTGACCGGAAACAGATTTGATGGCCATGGTCCTGCCTCCTTGCCCCCTGCCCCAGGCCCACATGGCCCCATAGCCATGCCCCTGGAATCCCTGGGCTCCTGCAGAACCCAGACATCAAATCCCTCTCCCTCGCCCCCATCATAGAGGTGTCTACACCCAGGGTCCCAGGGCGGGAGGGGCTTGGGCTGCAGGCATCTGCTCTGAGCCATCTCCACTGGGTCCATTGGGTATGGCAGATGAGGAGGAGGAAAGCTGGCATCAGACGGCCCACCAGGCAGGCGCGCACCTGCTCAGGTGCACTGGTGACCTTTCTGCAGGGATGCCCGGGCTGCTGCAGAGCCACCCACGAGGCAAAAGCAAACAGAGGTGTTTGCTCGCGGCTGGCCACCTGCTCGCTTCCAGGGCCCAGGTGGTGCCTGAATGGCCGCCCTCAAGGTCTCCTGGCATTATCTACCCTGCAACTGGGCTTCTGCGGAGACCAGCCCAGCGGGGGGTGGGGGGGTGGGGGGTGGGAGCTGTGCCACCAACGGCGGGCGCCGTGCTGCCTCCTCTCGGCCTCCTGCCTTACCGTCTCCTAGCACTCGGTCCTCCGACTCCACAACTTCCAGCCTCTGGCGGGAGGGGAAGCTGTCTGCCCAAAGTCCACCCATGGGATCAGCCTGGCCCCTGAGCTCAGGGAAGCCGACAGTGGGGGACCAGTGTCCCGGAGCCTGGGTCTGGAGAGCACCCTGCCCTCTGAGACCCTCTCAGGAGGCACAACCTTGGCTTTCTCTATCCCCTCTGTGTGGGGGAGGGGTAACAGCAGGTGGACACCATGGAGGCCTGCAGCCTTCTCACCCTGTCTGACTCTGGATCTAGGGCTGTCCTCCCCAGCACACCCTGGTCAGAGGTGCTCAGATTACTGCCCTGGGAGGGAACCCATGAGCTTACCCTGACTCTGCATTGGCTGCTGCTGACTTGGGGCTGAAGCCTCTGCCATGCGGCCCCGCCAAGGCACACCCCTGCCCTTCCTACCCTAGTGCCCTGCTGTCTGCTCACAATCTGAACAATCTGAACAGCGCACACACAGAGAGTCACTCGTCCCGTTTGACCCTGTCACCTCTGCAGGGTGACAGCCTGGGAGGCCCTGGGTCTCTTTTGTTGTCTCCCAAGTGCAGCACCCCCTGGAAAAGTCCCGTAAACGCCAGCTGCCTCCCTCCCTCTGCAGCCTTTATGGGCAATCATTGTTACTATTATTGTTACCATAAAGTCATACAGAAAAACAACTTCCGCAATAAGGAAGAGGAAGAGGGGGGAGGAGGAGGGCACACAGCAGGGGATGGAGAAGTGGCCTGAGGGCAGCCCAGCTCTGACACCAGGAGGGGTCCACCCCCAGGCCCACAGGAAATGGGGCTTCCCCAGTGTAAATGTGGGGGGAAGGGCTGGGCTGCCTCTCCTCTTCACCCTTGCATCTGTGCACTCTCGAGAGTGGTTCCTTCTTCCAGTCAGTCCAGGGGTCCTGCCTGGCCGAGGTGGCACGCGTGCCCCTGCAGCTCTGCCCATCAGCACAGTGGCTTCTGTCAGATGCTGGGTCCCTCGGCAGATGCCGGCTGCAGGAGCCTGCACCACCACCACTGCGTCTTCCTGGGGCCCATGTGCTCTGCACAGGGCCAGCCTGCACAGCGCCAGGCCTGGTGCTGGTCCAGGCCCAGCATGCTTAGTTGGTCCAGATGCCAACTGAAGCCAGCTTCCCACTGGCACAGACAACAGGGGCTCCTGTTTCCGGCATCTGAACACAGCACCGCATGCCACCCCAGATCTGGGCCAGGGTGTCCCGAGGGTGCCTGGAGCCCCGAGGTGGGTGCTCTGTGCGCCCAGAGTCTGTGGGCAGTGGGGACCTCAGTCTACTCAGCTGAGAAATGGGACAAGGTCACAAGCATCAGTGAGGTCGGGAAGATATGGCAAGCCCACAAACAGGGCACAGTGCAGGACCACACAGTAAGCCCGCCACAGAGCACCCACTGTGGGCGCTGGCCGTTCCACTTAGCACAAGGGAACCCAGAGGGTCTTCTGTGAGGCTACCCAGAGGCGGAAAGCCCCAGGGAGGCAGCAGCTTCCGGGGAGGGGGGGTCCCATCCCCTTAGCACCCCAGGCTCCATTTTAACAGATTCCATAATTTTTAATTAGGTTTTTTTTCCTCCCCTGCCTAAAAGGCCATTAGCGCCCCATTAGGTGAATACATCCCATTTTCTTCACACCACCAAGGAAACAGTGATTTACTTAGCCGGTCCCTAAAGCAATTCTGTAGAATAAAGGCAATTGAGCGAATGGGCTCAATAAACTTGCCGCCCATTTGTTCGGGACTGCAGGGCCCAACCCTTAGAAGCCCACCAGCTGGGGGAACACAGGGCCTCTGTGGCTGGGGTGGAAGAGACGGGGCAGGGCCGAGGTGAGCCTGGTGAGGCAGGACAAGGCTTGCACCCACCTGAGGCTGCCCAGAAGATCTAGGGTGAAAGAAAATGAGAGAGAAAGCAGACAGTGTTTCAAGGAGCAAGCAGGTGCTAAGGCAGGGAGGGCTCTGCCAAGCCAAGACTCCTGGATCTGCAGCGCTGGGGGCCCCGCAGGCAGAGAGGGCAAGCCCCTCCTTGCAGGTAGAGGTGCTGAGAACAAGGGGACTGGGGGAGCCCGATCCGGAAGATGCGAGGCAGGAGGCAATGTCGCAAATGCTCGAATTCAGTGTCCTAGTCTGCCAATGGGGACTGCGGCACGAGCAGGCAAAGGCCAGCATCTCGTAGAAACAGCTTTTAGATGGAGGCTCCCCTGCTCAGCTCCAGGACACCTGGCCAAGAGGCTGTGCCTCAGGGGTATGAAAAGTGCTAAGGGGCTGTGGTCCCATTGTGAACATCCCCGGGGTAGGGGCTGTTGAGCGGGCAGAGAGGAGTTCGGTCCCTGGGTGCACCTGCGCGAGGGAGCCAGCCCATGCTGTGGGTGACTACAGCCCTCGCGAGCACATCTCCGGGAGCAAGGGTGAGTCTGTGTCTTGGAGACAGCCCCATGTGGATGTGAAAGTAAGCCAGCATTCTGGACACCCAGACCAGCCCAGCCAACAGGCCCGGCCACCTGCACTGCTTCCACCAGAGGGAGCCCACGGCTGGGACGCTCCCCCACTGGGGTGGTGGGCGGCGTTGGGGCTGCAGAGAGGGAGGCTCGCCCAAGACCTCCTCCTGGGTGTCAGGCTCCTCTCCCAGTGCCACCAACCACCGTTTCTTGGTCATTCCAGGGAGCAGAAATAGAGGACGGGGGCTCCCAGGACTGGGGCATCTGCAGCCATCCCGAGCCAAGCTGTCTGTACTGAAAGCAACCTGTGCACCTGCCAAGTGCCACGAGCCAAACACCTGAGCCCGCTGCCTGCAGCTTTTGGTCCCCGCAGCCTTGCTGGCCACCCCCTCCCCCACTGCATGCGGGGCTGTGGAAGGGTTGGGGAAGTCCCCTGCAGGCTGTCTCCCCTGACCACGTGCCCACAACTACAAAGTCGAAATCTCAGGTCACAGCAGAAAACCAGCTTGCCTGCAGCATCCAGCCCGGCTTCCTCCTACATCGCTGGCAGCCCAGAGCCCGGTCCCCGTTCATTCCCAAGGGACGGGAAGGGAAGGGCCGCTCCCCTACCCTCGCTTCCTACAGTGGAACGGGGATCCATTCTGGCTGCAGTCCCTGCTGAATTGGGGAGAGAAGGAGGGGTGTGAACCCAAACATTTTGCAGGACTTGGGAGTTCCGGCGTGGTGATCGCGGTCGACGCCCCTTGTACGGAGTGGGGGAGGGGAGTCCGGGTTCCCTCCACCCCGGCAGAGGGACACCTGAGGCTATGGAAGCGCTCCCTCCCGGAAGGGACCAAGTGAGGGCCGGTTTGCGGGACACCGAAATGCGCAATCGAGGGGTTCAAAGATTCCACAGCCTCAGGCTTAACTCTGTCCGGGTTTGGAGCGGAGGCAGTGACCGGTCCCGGCGCGGCCACACCTAATAACGGGATCCTAAGGCGAGAGACGCTCACCATAGACACAGAACCTTACTCCGCCCCCCAAGCAGGTCCGGAGCGCCCTGGGCCGCCCCAGGTCCCCGAAGGCGGCCCCCTGGCGCCCCAAGCCGGCAGGACCCAGGACTCGCGGCGGCCGGGTGGGACTCGTGGCTTTTGAGCTTTTTAAACAGCGGCACGGCAAACACGCACACGGGGAAGACAACCTTTTATGAAAGCGCCCCCGCACCGGTGAGCGGCCGGGGCGGCCGGCTGAGCGAGCCGCGCACCCAACTGGAGGGCGAACGCAGCGGGCCCCTTGCACAAACAACAACTCCCCGCGCCAGGCGCGGGGTCCCGGCGCTCCCCGGCCCGCCCGCTCCCGCTGGCGCCCCAACCGCACCAACATCCGTCCGGTCCGCGCTCCAGGGCGAGGCTGCGGCTCGGGCTCCGGAGGCCGACCCCAGCCGCCCAGCCCCGCGTCCAGCCCGGGGCTCGAAGCGCGCTGCCCGCGGCCGCCCCTTTCGCAGCCCAGCCCAGGCCGGCGGCACGCAGCCGCGCAGCCGGCTGTCGCCCGCAAACAGAAAGGCGTTGCCGAGCGCGTGCGCTCCGCTCGCCCGCGCTAACTTCGTCCCGTCCGCCCGCACGACTCACCTTCGCCGAGCAGCGGCAGCAGCAGCAGCAGCCGCCGCAGCCCCACGGCGCCGGACGGCGTCTTTGCCATCGCCCGTGCGCACCGGGGCCGCGGCTGGAGGGCTGGCGACTCGGGCCAGCAGTGGGGTGCAGTGGGGCGCAGTGCTCAGCCGGGCCGCCCCATGCCCGGCCCTGGGCGCCGCGGACACTGCGGGCGCGGTGCGTCCGGGCGCCGACTCCGGCGCGCTCTCCTCTGCGGTGCGCCCGGCTCGGGTCGCGGGACTGAGGCTCGGCGGGCGCGGGCAGTGCGGAAGGAGCGGACAGGGGCGGGCCCGGGGGCGGGGCGGGCGGGGCCGGGGTGCGGGGTAGGGGCGGGGCTCCGGGTACTGGCTCGGGCCTCGCGGGTGCGGAGCTGGCAGGCGGGGCGCGGTTAGGAGCTGGGAACGGTGCGGGCCGGCAGCCGGTAGCCGGGGTCCGCGCACCTCTGCACGCACAGCCGCGCTGTTTTTACCGTATGCGCGCGCTTACGGTGTCTGCGTTTTGCCCTTCGCGGCGGCCCGGAGCCGGCAGGGAAGCCACGCCGGGATGCAGAATCTGGCCGACCGCCTGGGAGTGTGGCCACGCGGGCCCTCCGCGCCTCCAGGCTCTGGGTGCCGGGCGCATCCTCCGCCATTTCTCAGCGGGGAAGGCGCGGTGGGAACGCGGCCGCCTCTGGGTCCAGGCGCAGCTGGAGGGGAAGAGCCTCGTATGCCTGTCCGGGGCCAGCGAGCCTCTTGGCTCACGCAGTGTCCTCTGGTGCCGCGGGTGGGGTCTCCTAAGGCTCGCTGGGGTTCGGCCGGACGGGTCCCTTCCATGGGACCAGCAGACTGGTTCGGGGGACGGTTTTCACGGAGCCTGGGTGCTGGTAGCTAACGGGGTGCCTGGTGTAGGTGCCCTTTCCTCTCCAAACGGGAGAACTCAGGACGCGGGGACGGACTGCAGGGAGACAAGGAGAGCAAGCAGCAGGGAGGAACCAGTGCCCTAAAGATTCTTAGCCTCTCTTTTCCCAAATGACGCCTACAAACACAGCCACACCCCAACTCTGGGCCGTACCAGGGGTCTGAGGTGAGGTTGGTTGTGCGCTCTGGACCTCCGTGAGGGGAGGTTGGCTGATGTTCCCCCACCCCACCAGGGTCCGTGCGCGGAGACAGAGGAATGGAAGCGCACAGTGGCCGGTGCCTCTGGGCCGGCTGCTCTTTCCGCTGTGCGTCGGGCCCCGCCCTTTCGCCGGGCTGAGCTCAGCGCTGAATGCGGGCGACCTACACATCACTCTGCAGATATGAAGTCAAAGTGAAGTCAGGAGGAGCAGCTGCCAAGACAGACGCTGCCTTGGGGCTGGGCCAAACCCCGCTGTCCACAGCCAGCCTGCTAATGGGTGGGTGGCCAGGCCAGGAGAGCCTTACCCTGCTCTGCCTGCCATGCCTCCCTAGGGCCCTGGCGCCTCACATTCACTGAGCGAGAACCAGCCATGGGGCCTCCCTTGGGTGCCCACATCGCTGGTGCCAGTCTACTCGGAGCCAGCCACGCCCCCGCACCCCCCAAGGACTATGTGGGCTAGGCCTTGTCTGACACTGGCCAGCCTGTTAGGCTGGCTGGGCTGGGTGTGACCATTGCAAGGGCCCAGCTGAGGCTGGGCTCCTGGCCTCCCTCCAGCCTGTCCATCTTCTCTGGGAGTCCTGAATGCATATCGGATACCCAGGGCGGGGGCATTCCCATCCCTTTGGAAAGAGATGAGGATGGGGGCACCTGTCATGTGTACTGCTGTCCACACATGCGCATACATATGTGCAAATGCCTGAGTCCACATACACATGCACACCTCCCCCCGCTCTTGCCCAGGGACCTGAGGGCAGAGGGAAAGCGTGGGCTTGTGGGTGGCAGTCAAAGGGAGGGAGTGACTTGGCCCAGGAGCTAGAACCTCAGAGGCCCTTGTGTCTCTGTTCAGGGGTAGGGAGGGTCTGCAGGAGGCTGGGTTCCCCATCTGTCTCTGAGCCTCAGTTTCCCCATGTATAAACACCTCCCTCTTGGAAGGAAGGATGCAGACAGAAACAGGAGTTTGCAAGAGGTCCGGGTGCCCCGCAAGCACTCAATGGCTCATCGCTGTTGTCCAGGCCAGGGCTCCTGGGAACTGGGCTCTGGCACCCTCTCCCCCACCCCTTTGAGGGACATGGGTACCCTGGAGCTGAAGGAGGGTGCCTCGGAATGTGTTTGATGCCCTCCACGCCTGTTTGCAGGTTCCCATGGGGGGTCAGCCTTTGGGGCCAGGCTATCCTTCGCCCTGTCATATACACTCTCCCTGTGAACGCATTCACAGGACAGCCAGCTCGGCCCGAGGGGCGTGCTTTACCAACTCTGTCCACAGAGGCATCTGCAGATAGGGTCCGTGCCTGGCTTGGAAGAAGACCATCCTTCCGTCTTCCCCAGGCCCAAGCCCCTGATCCCTGAGCGCCAGCAGAGGGGCCTGTATGCCCATGGAGGCCCCCATGTTGGAAAGCAGAGTTCCTCTGCCTGTGTTGCCTGAGGCGTAGGGGCCACTGTTCTTATTGTGGCTTATTCCCGGGAGGCCGGAGAAGTCCATGGTTGTTGCTATGGCTGACATCCCAGACATCCAGGAGACCCCAACAGCCAAACTCTCTGCTTCCCTCCGCCCCGAATTTCCCATCTGCACAGGTGACAGCTCACACCTGGGTGCTCTGGGAGCCTGGTAGCCACACCCACACCTGTCTTCTGCTCTCCGAACAGCTGGGCTGCAGGTTTCCAGCCTGTGCCAGCCGACCTGCAGCCCAGAGCCCTCTCGGCCACAACAGACTACTTAGCTGGCCTTGTAATTACACCTTGCAGAGTGGCGGACGGATGAATGTAGGTGCCCCTGGGGGCTCCTGGGGGCTTCCTCACATCACGGCTGGCCCGCTGGGGCTGGCTGGAGCCGGGTGGGGCTGAGGCCTGACAGCCTGTTCTTCATCTGGAGCCAGGGAGAAAGCTGGCCGGGTTCAGCAGCGAGTGGTGGAGGGAGCGGGGAGCTGCAGTTGGCAAGTCCGGCAGAGGGTCTGGATGCTCTTTCGACAGAACATCTCCCTAGGCAGCTTCAGAATCTGCCGTGTAATGCAGATTTAGACAACTTTTTACGAATGCACTTTTTAAAATAGGTCTTAATGGATCCTTTGCAGTAGTTACAGTCCATTGTGTAAATGCAAACAGAAGGCTTTTTGAAAACATGTATTATTGATCACAAAGGCAGCAGCAATTAGAAGCCAGTGTGTCATATTGTTCAATATACACTTCCTATACAGCTCTGTTTGTGCTCACTCATAACTTTCTGACCACGGATGCTGTCCCTGGGAAGCCCTTTCTTTTCCTTTCTGCTTCTGGAAGCAAAAGAGGGCCTGCCCGCCCACCCATCGGTTATTAACCGGAGGTCACTGAAAAACCAAGCCAGCCTTTAACAGAGCAAAGCCTGTGGATGGCTTCACCGTGGGGTTCCAGGCTAAAACCACAAAACCTTCAGGTCAGGAGGATGCTGCCGCATGATGGGGTTTGTGATGCACGGTGGGGGAAATAATGACCCGATGAGCAGGTGGCAGTGAGCTGCCCATGGGCAGGGGCCCGGAGCCCAGAGACCTGAGCTGGAGGCAGCCTAGAGCCAGCTCCGTGGGAAATCTGTGTACCCGTGTTTCCCGCATCTGTGCATTGCTACCTATGCTTTTTGCGAACTTGCTTCTTCAACACATGTGTAACAATACTTATCACACAAAGGTGCCTCAGGAGTTCACAGAAAACAGGCAGAGAGGCAGAGAGATCTTCTATTGGCTGGCTTACTCCCCAAATGGCTGCAACAGCCAGGGTTGGACAGGAACCTGGAACTCCATCCTGGTCTCCCACGGGAATGTCAGGGACCCAAGCACCTGGGGGCCGTCTTCCGCTGCTTTCCCAGGTGCATTAGCAGGGAGCTGGGCTGGGACTCGAGGTACCCATATGGGTTGCCGGCATCGCATGCGTCGGCTTAACCCTGTGCTCCACAATACCCACCGGCCGCTTACTTCTATTTTCTCACAAGCTTCTCGAAGCACCCTCATAGTGCCGTCTTAGGAGATGGAGAGGCTCCTGTGAATAATGGCCCTGTCTCTCGGTGTGCTGCTTCAAACCACCAGACCTCACAGTGGGCCTGAGCCTGGGAGAGGGGGCCCCGGAGCAGGGGTGGGGGTGGGGGTAGGCAGGTGGCTGACTGGCCTGGGCCCCCCGTGGGGAGCAGATCTTGTGCACAGAGGACGGAGCTGGGGACAGGCTGCACAGACCAGGGCCAGGGACTCATCCTTCATCTGCCTGTGGGTGGGGGAGCCCTCTGCTGCCTCTGCCTCTCCATTGGGTTCCTGGAAGGGTTTACTGCTTGTGGGAGCCGCAGGGGCGTGTTCTGGCTCGGGCAGCTTTCGGAGCGGGAAACCCCTGCTGTGTTTTTGGATTGCCGACAAATCGGAAGTCCATTCACTTAATGCCCTCTAATGGCTTCTGCAAGCTGCCCTGGCCCAGAATCCTGGGGGGGGGGGGGGGGGGGGCTGCCGCCCTGGGCACATGCAGGAGCTGAGGCCAGGAGCTGCCTTTGGGAGCAGCATGGCGGCTCCCAGCCCCCACCTCGGCCGACAGGCCCAGAAGCTCGGCCCCCTGGCTCGCACCCGGGCCAGCTTCTTTTGGAAGCCCTGGGGCTGGTGGTGGGCACATCCTGGAGGACTCCCTCGCTGTTCCCTTCCCAGCACCAGCCCACCCTGAGCCAAGATCTGCCCAGGGTTCTGGCTGAGCCTGAGGTCTCGTCTGTGGGCTTACTAGGAAGCTGGCCGGGCCGGGCTTGGTCCCCTGGAAGGTACAGTAATGACAGGCATCTTCCGCTCTGTGTCGTTTGAGGGCCTGAAGCGTGGCGCATGTGACGGAGAGCCCAGGATTTTAAATGTAACTCATTTAAGATGGGAAGTGAAAGAGCCGCGCGCGTGTGGCTAGGATGGCTCACTCAGGCAGTATGGCTGCTTTCCCAGAAGCTCCCGGGGGCATGGCGGGGAGGGGCCGGCTCCTGGCACCACCTCCCACCCAGGGAGTGAGCGGGCTCAGAGAAGCAGTCCTGGGGACACCCCGTGTGGCCCCAGCGGACTGAGCCGGCAACTCTCGCTCTGTGACTGAACTGCACGGTGTCTCCAAGATGCCACAGCCCGAGGAGAAGGGGGCGTGGCAGCGGCACACGTGGGCGCCTGCGGGGGCTTGGTTCCCCTCTGGGCTCG